GCACAACGCACGGCCATCGCCCCCAACCTCCCCCAAAGGAGCGTCGGCCTCCATCAGCAGCATGAGTGAAGGGGACGAAGACGAGAAGTAGATGAAATGTGATGGACACACACACACACACACACACACACACACACACACACACACACACACACACACACACACACACACACACACACACACACACGTAAACATACACACACTTCACTCACAGTACACTGCCTGGGAACTGCACACACACACACAAACAGAAGCATACACACGCACGCACACACATACATGTAGACGTATACACACACTTCACTCACAGTACGCTGCCTGGGAACTGCTCACACACACACACACACACACACACACACACACACACACACACACACACACACACACACACACACACACACACACACACACACACACACACACACACACACACCTGGCTGGATACTGAAACACTTTATCCTCAAGGAAGTTGCTAGAATGCAAAGAAGAAGGGGATCATGGGAAATGAAGTTCTGTGCTGCAGAGCTAAGAAGCCATCATCGCACAGGAAGAAGAGGATTTGCAAGAAGGTCCAGAATGCTTTGCGGCATCTTTCAGGAGGATTAGCTTTTTGTGGAGAGACTGTCCGACAGCCTTCATGGCACCACCTCACTGTCCTGTTCTGTTCATTGACAGTTCTGTCACCACTAGATGTGAAAAGACACAAAAACACTGTGTGTGACGTTCAGCTCCACATCGACAGGATTCATCGTGGGCCCATTTAGTACTTGCTGAACTGAGAGTTAGGAATTAAAGACTGCACGTCGTAGATTAGCAGAGGTGAAGTGTTGGCACTAGAACACATAATCAGAGGTAGTTTGCACCCTTTAAGCATAAACGGCTGGCGAGGAGAATGAAACCAGTGATCCATGAGTCTTTGTTCCCACGCCACTAAAACAGATAAAGACTAATCATTCAGAAAATCATAGGAAGTTAAAATCAGCCTGCGGGATTAGCAGTGTGTATCCAAAAAGCTCTGAGTTTGGGAGGTGGTTTTTATCACCTCTGTTGTACAGCTTTGTTTGAAATCAAACAATATAATCTAAGTAGTGAAGATCAAGAGTTTTGAAATTAAAATTAAAGAGGTCGGTCTTAAATTAAACACTAAAACAAGCCTCTTTTGATCCTTAAAACTTTATTAGCTTCTTGAATGTAAACTAAGTCTCTGAGACTAGTAGAGAGTCATTATAATCACCCTAATTTCCCTAAATAATCACATTAGCACACACAAATATCACAGGTATTAGAGGAAACATTTGTGGATGTTCAGCCCATGTATCATTTGAAGGTTTGCCATGTTTTATCTCTCAATGTTTAGCAGACATCGTTGCTCTTTGGATTTTGATGTCAGCTGTTCATCAAACCCGGCAAACTTGGAGATGCAGCCTTTCTCTCGGACTCTGAAGATACTTGAAATAAACAATAAGCCCTCCAGGTGAACTGTCAGCAGCCGGATCATCATGTTTTTAGTCGCTAGATGTACGTAATAACTCTTTTGTTTTCTCCAATCATACAATAAATACTCTAATGCAATGTAGAGACCTTAACGTCCTGTACGCACTACATGTTAATCTGCACTATATGTACAAACTTTGGGAATGTGTGTCTTTTTTTATCTTTTAAATCTCAATGTTCAAACGGCTTGATCTGTAAATAAAAAAATCTATAACCAAACGTGAATTGAAAGTGCATTTCGTTTTTTTATCCAAACAAACTGTGTTGATTAGATAGATACACACTCCTACCACAAGGTGTCGCCACATAGTTGTGACCTATGTTTAAATCCACATGTACGGTAAGAGACCCGAACAAGAGCTCTTGATTAAAGATGGCCAAGACTTTAGCACGGAGCACGAGTCAGTTCATTAATAAACCAACAAACAAAACATAAACGATGCAGGAAAATGGCACACAACAGCAAAATGTTATTTATTGTCTGGTGCTGATATCAGACTGCTCACCATTTTGCATATTTTTTCATGACCGCCTACACAGCAAGGGGTTCATGCACAAAGCTGGAGGTACAGGAGGATAGAAAACAGAGATCACTCCACACTGTACTGCAAACACAACGTTATATACACAATATTTACTAAAATGCACAAAGTAATCTTTAACAGTAAAGGTCCACGACTACTGAAGACGCCTCTTAAAACCACCGATTCAAACTTAGCTGTTAAATGTGATTACAGGTGGTGAGCGGAGGCATTTTAAATAAAAAAAGGACAGTTTTTCTGAGCGTCTAACACTCGTTAATGCAGGTTTGTCCCTCAGGGAGACTGGCAGGTTTGAAGGCATCGGCAGTGAGGAACTATTCAGCTGCTCTCCTTTTTTTTGGGATCAGAGGGAGCTGAAGGAGACGAGAGAAGGAAGTCACTTCAGATCATTTCAATTCTTAACACGCAATGCGAGCCATGCTTGATTTTTCAGTAGTTTACCAAAAAGGATATTGCTACTATGAAGGTGTTCAGATACAAGTGGTGACCTTGGATCTCTGCAAATCATAATTAATCTTCTGTGTGTCCAAATAATTAGGTATGATGTGATTGTGTGAAGTTATTTGAAGGAAGAATATACATGTTGGGTCAGAAAGCGCACAAATAAGTTCCCTTAATGTGATTTGTGTGACAAAAATCAAGTGTTTAGCGCTATCATTTAGTACAAAGATAATTTAGTCTTACATTTAGAAGAAGAAAATCGGATTATTCAGAATTAAGTTTTGATATTTACCCCAACTCTCTTTCTAAAGACTTGATTTCCTTTTGTTTAAATAAAGAAACATTACATCAAACATTGCAGTAAGATACCGTTTTAACAGTTAATGCTGTTTCAATTTCAACGATAAAAATTAAACCCTGTGTTCCTCGCTTAAAATTAACTTAACAAATGGTGATAAAAACAAAAATACACAAACTGTGTTCATAAATCATTCATAACATAATACCAAAAGTAGAAGGTATGAGCGTGATTGGTCTAAAATGTGTAAAAAGCAGATGTAATGATGTGTTCTTACTTTTTCTGTTCTGATTGGTACATTGACATCATGCTGGTGAGGTTGAAGCTGCTTTGGTCCTTTTAGTTATCGTTAGAGCTAGCTTGCAAGCAGAAATGTCCCTCAGTCTTGTCGATCAATAGTATGTGTAAGTTACAGGGGTTAGAATACAAATAATCAGAAACTATTTTGATCAGATTTCCTGCTTGTCTCTGTTTCATATCATATTCAAGTAGGTTTTTGTGTTTTGGACTGACAAAACTAAACATCCAAAGACATCAGCTTTTACTTTAGGGTACTAGAGGACATTTTGTACTAATTTCTGCTGCTTTACATACCAAACAATTATCTAGAGAATATTCAATTAATCGATACCTAAAATATGTGTTGGTTGAAGCCCTAGCTTAGGTGGGCGTACAGTTGACTTAAAGGAGTGAAGATGTAAAATAGAAACAAAATATTCTCCCATTGTTAATGATCTTAAATCTCCACAGCCTTCGAGGCAGCTTTTTAAAACATAAAAAAACTAGAATAAGGCCTTCTCTCTTTAAAATAAAACTTCTAGATCTTAAAGGGGACCTATCATGCAAAATGCACTTTTGTACGTCTTTTATACTTGAATATGTGTCCCCGGTGTTCCAGGGAACTCACCAAGTGTCAGAAAACACAACCTTCTATTTTCCTCCATACCCAAATCTCTTAAAAAGGGGCTGCAACGGATCTGATACAGACTGATCCAGATTTGAACACTTCTGTGACGTCACAGAAGTGGCGCTACGGCTATTGGGCCAGCTCCACCAATCAGGAGGAGACAGCCACGGACATTGCCGTTGGAAAGCGCTGGAGACGCTGTAGTACATATGCCAGGCCTGTAGATGGTGCTGTTCTCACAGAATCAGCCCATGCAAAGACATTGTTAAATTGAGAGAAATGAGGAATGGCTAAAATGCATGATCTGTTTGGTATTTTGAAAAATAAAAAGTATAAATATGTCTTTTATAGGTATGGTCCTACACTATATTATTCAAATATAGCATGATAGATCCACTTTAAATATAAATCGTGCTCTTGATGCATGGCTTTCTATAATTTTCCCAAAACAGTTTCTCTATGTTCCCAGGCTTAAATACAAAACTAGTCTTTACTCTGCCAGCGACACACTGGCCTGATTGTGCGCTCGGTTCAAAAGTGTCTCCCAACAGGAAGGAAATGAAACCTCCTGTTCTTCCAATCTGCACTGAAACTTAAACCTCTCTGTCTCTGCTGGCGTTTGAGCGGCAGAGACGGAAAGCCTGCCCTCAGCTGACGGTGAGAAAGCAGCGCGGGGTTTAATCAGCCACAGGAAGCAGCGGCCAAAAAACCAGAAAACAATGATGCAGTGGGTTCAGCTCATGGTCAGATAAAAGGGGAAACAAAGTCAAAACTAGTCAATAAAAGCTACGCGGATGAATCTCATTGTCTTTGGGTGAAGAAATAAGTCATCAATATGGTCCAAACATCAGGAATGTTAAAGCAGGTCTGATCAGAGCGTTCACCCAAGGGCAACGCTTCATTGTGCATGCTCCCAGCAGGGGGTCAGAGTTATCTCTTGGCTTTGTAATTGGACTTGCTGGCGTCTCTTGGCTCTCGGCTGGGGTTGCTCCAGTCGTCCGCCTCGGGGCTCGTCTTGTAGTGTCGCAGCGCAGACTTGTTGAAGACGGGAAGACGCTCAAAGGACTCGCTGGAGAGAGCCTGGAGAAAAGAGACACAGGACGATGAGAACTCATGGTTAATTATCTTTAAAAGACGACATATAATGCTCATGTTCAGGTTAATATCAGTATTTAGTGTCTCTACTTTAAAGAGTCCTCTCCTGCTCATGTTCAGGTTAATATCAGTATTTAGTGTCTCTACTTTAAAGAGTCCTCTCCTGCTGATGTTCAGGTGTATATCAGTATGTGTGTCTCTACTTTAAAGAGTCCTCTCCTGCTGATGTTCAGGTGTATATCAGTATGTAGTGTCTCTACTTTAAAGAGTCCTCTCCTGCTGATGTTCAGGTGTATATCAGTATGTAGTGTCTCTACTTTAAAGAGTCCTCTCCTGCTGATGTTCAGGTGTATATCAGTATGTAGTGTCTCTACTTTAAAGAGTTCTCTCCTGCTGATGTTCAGGTGTATCAGTATGTAGTGTCTCTCCTGGGACATGTCTCCATGCTTTAATGTTCAAAAAGCTCTTTATTTTTCTCATACTGTCTGTGCTGCAGGACCTCTTTTC